CACTGCGCATAACATGATCAAAGCGAATAAAGAGCATCGAGTTCTCGCTCTAAAGGATTTTGAGGATCAAGACATCGAGGATGTATTTAAGCGGCCAGCATTTTGCCAACAGAAGCATCACGAAAAAGAAGAACTCAAGTTCTTTTGCAAGAACTGTGATGTTGCCATTTGTAATTCGTGTGTTGCAACCATCCATGATGGTCACGCTAAGATTCTTCTAGAAGAAGCAGCGAGTGAACGCAAGTTACAAGTCGAGTCTTTGATCGAGTTGCAAAAGGAGAAAATTCAACAGAAGAAAAACAAAATCGCTGTCCTTGAGAGACAGTGTAACCATATTGAAGTGCAAGCCGACGCAGTGAAACGAGACATCCATAGGCTTGCCGAAAACATGATAGCAGCCATTGAAACAAGGAGGAAGGAAATGTTAAACAAAGTTGAAACACAACAAAAAGANAGTAAATGGAGAACATATTCGTGGCAGTCCATTTAATGTTGTGGCGAAACCCAGACAGTTTAGACCCTTGCTATCTTTTGGACAAAAGGCTTCGTCACCTGGAAAGCTTGCCTTCCCATATGGAGTGGCCGTGAATGAACGAGATGAAATTTTAGTGACTAACACATCTAACCACAGGGTTCAGGTATTTAGTAGTGATGGAATTTACTTAAGATCTTTTGGTAGGAAGGGTGATAAACAGGGAGAGTTTAATTACCCTACTGGCATAGCGCAGGATAAGAATAAGAACATAATTGTTGTGGACACTCAGAACCACAGCGTTCAATTGTTCAATGATCAAGGTGAGTACCTGAGCCAGTTTGGTGGTAAAGGAAATCTTGATCACCAGCTGAGTAGTCCTTATGGATTATCTGTTGACGGGAATGGAAATATCATTGTTGCCGATAGGGGCAACAAATGTATAAAAACTTTTTCATCCGATGGCCAGTTTTTGTATAAACTTGGTGAAGGTGAAGCTTTTACTGCTCCTTTTCATTGTATTCAACATAACAAACATCTCATAATGTCAGACAAGGATGAACATTATATCAAAGTGTTTGATATAAATGGTGATTTTTTGTACAAATTTGGAAATAAGGGAAACGGGGATGGGCAGTTCGACTTTCCTAATTTTTTGTCGGTTAACAAGGCAGGACACCTGATGGTCTGTGATACAGACAATCACAGAGTTCAGGTATTTGAACTGAGTGGTAAATTTGTAACAAAGTTTGGAAAGAGAGGTGATGGGCCAGGAGAGTTCTTGCTTCCAACATGTACAGCAGTTCTTAGTGATGGCAGGATAGTTGTGGCTGATTGGTTTAACCATCGTATTCAGATACTTGGGTAAATGTTGATTAATGCAACTTCTGTTACATTCAAGCTTTGAAGTAATTCTGAAAAAAGCTGCATCAAAACACCTAGGTTTTTTTTTCTTTCTGGTTTGAATTGGTGTATCATATCGCTCATTTGTAATCTTAAGACTCTAGTTTCTTAGGGAGGGTAAACACCACAGATCGAAGACAAATTGTTGTGATACTGCATTAGATTCTAGTTTGTTAGGGAGGGCAAACAATAGAGATTGAAGAAAAATTGTTGTGATAGTGTATTCACTATTGAAAGAGAAGCATCAATCAATAAACTGAGTTTGATCGAATGAGGAAAGTAATAATCTGTTTCAGAGTGTTCAGCTTTCTAGTGTTATTTACATACGTTTAAACGACAGGGTTGTGCAGCTCAGTTAAAATTAATTCGGGAAATGGAAGTTCAGTTCCGTTCGGCTATTATCCGGCTCGTGAGGGAAACCTCCAAACCATATTCCTTACAACAATGTATAGATGATAAGCTTTTAGGATCACACGTTTTTTCCCCTGACTGATTCTTATGAATGAGTGAAAAAAAAACTCCACTTTTTCTTAACTATATGGACAGCCACTTACCACGTGTTTGTTTTATCATTGGAAGGTGCAAGGGCTCTTAAAACTGTAAAAATATTTTAACTATCAGTGACTCGAACAGTCATACTTGCTCCTTGTGTTTAAGGGCGATCTATTTCCCTATGGGGTCAAAGAGGAAGGATCAGTTCAATAATATTTTTGAAAACCTTCAAAATATTTCCAATAATGCAAGTCACTCAACACATCTCAAAACAACAATCGAAAGTTGCAAGTCGAGTCTTTGATCGAGTTGCAAAAGGAGAAAATTCAACAGAAGAAAAACAAAATCGCTGTCCTTGAGAGACAGTGTAACCATATTGAAGTGCAAGCCGACGCAGTGAAACGAGACATCCATAGGCTTGCCGAAAACATGATAGCAGCCATTGAAACAAGGAGGAAGGAAATGTTAAACAAAGTTGAAACACAACAAAAAGACTCCCTTGGATGTGTGCGAACTCAACAATGCGAGATAAACCGTCAAGTAAAACTGCTGGAAAGAGCTGTCGAAAAAACTGTAACACTTTTAAAACGAAGTACAAGCGCCGAGATTACACGGTTGGATAAGTCACTGAACACAGTCTTACCGGAAGAGGTCAGCGATGATGGAAAACAAGCCGCTTCTGACCTTGAAGGTCTTCGTCAATTTCGTTTCACAGAAAAAAAAAACCTAACTTGATAGTTTAAACTCTGACAGCACCGGCTCATTTGTAACCTTTGTGAACAAAACTATCGCTCATCAGTCAACTGCTAAAGGAAAAGGAATCACTGAAGCGATTGTTGGCCTTCCAAGAAATACAGAGGGAGAAGGTTGAATGAGCGTGACTGTGTAACGGAAGTGCGAGTCCAAGTAACAAAGATGGTAGCTACAGAGTCAGATATTTCCTCAAAGATAGAGGAAAATGCCAACTATCAGTGAAAGTAAATGCAGAACATATTCGTGGCAATCCATTTAATGTTAAGGCAAATCAGAGGTCCAGACCCTTGTCATCCAGGAAATCTTGATCACCAGCTGAGTAATCCTTTTGGTTTATCTGTTGACTGTAATGGAAATATCATTGTTGCCGATACGGGCAACAAATGTGTAAAAACCTTTTCATCCAATGGCCAGTTTTTGTATAAACTTGGTGAAGGTGAAGCTTTTACTGCTTCTTCTCACTGTAATCAATATAACAAACATCTCATAATGTCAGACCTTGACGAACATTGTATCAAAGTGTTTGATATAAATGGTGATTTTCCCGTATGATTAAAGATACTGTAAATGAGAAACCCATATAATGTACTTATCTGTGAACAATGTTTATATTTTCCATGATAGGAACTTTATCACGAAAATGTAGTGTCTCTTTTCGACTGTCAGGTAATGATGGAATTATAAAAATTTTTGATTTCGAAGAAGATGTGGCCATGTGGTTGGATATTTTGGAAGATTGCCCCGAATGAATGAATGAGATACCAACCACAGTTTTTTTTTTTCGGAAAAATACTAGCTGTTCGTTTCTTTCATACTTGAGTGCCTTGTAAATTGATCTTGTTTTGAGTAACGCATTTGTTTTCGGCTTACGGTATTCAACGAAACGAAACGAAACGAAAATTTTAACTAGTGAAAATTTTAACTAGGTTACGATTTTGTTACTTAAATTAACTTTCTCAGATTCAACGAAACCAAACGACACAACATTTGACCCTGGATTGATGTTTTGCTAAATACGAACGCCTGAGGCTCAGTAATTGACGAAGATCCTAATATTGCTACATCAAACGGGGAAAATATAAAAGGGGGCACATTTGGTAATTGACTAAACAATGAACTCAAATTCTTACCATAAACGGCCTTGTTCTGAAGTATGGTCTTTCCGGTAAAGCGAACATTGCCGTGTCAAACAGGGAAAATATGAGTGATTTTGGTCAGGATAGTCGTCTTGCTTCGCTAAATACCAACGTAAAACGCCGGGGGTTTAGTTGGTAAATGATGATATTTTAAGAAAACTGCACGCCTTCCTCATGAAATTAGTTAATTATTATTATTATTATTATTATTATTATTGTTATTATTATTATTGTTGAGAACTGCTTTTTGTGAAATATTTTTAAGGAAAAATCTATTATTGTTATTAAGTTAATAACGAAGAGATTCAAAACTTTTCTCTCAGTTAGAGACTTTTTAAACTTGTTGTGTAATATTTATACCTTAATTATGATCATCATTATAATTATTATAAGAAGCGTGTATCCATGAGCTTTTTCTGGGATTTTTACTGGACTTTTGACGCATTTGTTTTCGATTTTTAAGCATTAAAAAAATTGTTATTGTTATTATTATTATTATTGTTATTATTATTATTGTTATTATTATTATTAATATTGTTATTATTAGTTAAATAGTAATTAATCATTAGTTAATTAATTAGGTAATTATTAGTATTATTATTTTCTTTTTTATGCAGCAATCGAAACATCTCTTTTGTCTTCAGAGTAGTTAGGCCAAGGGTATGATCAGCATTCTCCTCACATACATTTACTATATATAATCATAACATGTTTAATTTCCGGAATCGCCTAATGAATAAATATTTCAGCTTATTGGAAATAAATAACTTCTGGCTATTTGTTCAAATCCCAGGTTCTAATGTACGCTAACTCGAATTTTTAAATTAATTAATAATGAAAACGTTTATATGTGAGGGTTGAGGTTCCCTCCTTACTACCCTTTATAGCTAAAACAGGCCTCTAGAAAACAACAACGATGATAGGAACTTTATCGAACTGTAACTGTAACACTAATACACCGAAACTGGCAAGAAGCTACAAGAGACTTAAGTAGCCGTGGGCCATATGGCGTTACTCTGAGGCTTTTCGCTTTGTTCTTTTGATAGCCGGTTCAACATGTTTGTTTTCTTTGTTTGTTTTTTCGCCTTGTAGTTCATCTTCGATCTACACCTTTGCCATTTAGTTGCCAGGGAGGGTTTTTTGAGTGTCAGGCAAGGAAAAAGAGCTGGTCCCCACAGTGAAAACTAAACTTAGGGAATCTTTTGAAAATTTTCTAGAAACAATAACGCCACAGGTATACGCCTAGGAAAAACTTTTTAAAATAGTTAACTTGTATGTTGTACAAATTCATTGTCGCTTTACAAGCAACCTTTGATCCCAGTCCTCGGCTGCATGACCTAAAATATGGCGTTCCATTTCCGCCAAAATTCAATGTTCTATTTTACATCGTACTTTCCACAATATTTTTTACATTTTGCGTTTTTCATTCGAGTTTGCACTGGCGATTCAACTTTTTTGCATTCAACATTCAACGTTTGTTTATGCAACATTTAAGTTATCGCTTTCGACATTCAACTTTTTAGAGGCAACAGTGTAGTTTTCGAATTCGACCCTCAAGTTCAGTGGAATCCACATTCATGTTTTCGCATCCAACATTTAGCATTTGTCCTTTTTAAGTTTTGGCTTCCGACCTCCGACTTTGGGTATTGTACTTGCAAGTTTTCGCGTTCGATATTCAACTTTTCGAATTGGACTTTTACCCTCTGGTCAGTGACTGAAGGAGATTGTGGGCGCAATCGCCCTGAGCCACCCCTGTTCAAAAGGTGGACGATAGGGACGAGAGAATTCCCAGTTGAGTGGACTTGGGAGACCTTTCTCCACTCCCTAGCCGTCGGGGGACGATCATGGCCGGCGGTCGGCAAGATATCGATGCTGCCGCACAATCTGCTTGTTTAGGTGAAGTGAGAGTTACCCTCTTGAGGGTTGCTGAGCGTCTTTCTTCTCTGGAAGAAACACCACCTCCAAGTAAGAATCGGGCAACCTTTGGTATGAAGAAGTTAGTTTTTTCGCGTGCTGACGCAAGTACGTGTACGTCATCTCCATCTTGATCACTTCATGCGCGCTGTACGTTGGAAGGCATCAATGGTAGAATTAAATATTTTTCCTAGAGCTTTTGCTTGCAATACTCTTATCTTTGTCTATTTTTCTCGTTTTTTTTTTTACTCAGAGTAAATCACCCGTATAGGTGCATAATTATTACGTCAGAGATTTTTGGCAGTTCAGAGGGTTCTGTCTGAATGATTATTAATTTTGATTATTTTCAGTCAGCACACAGAATGCAAATCCTTCTCCAGCTGCCTGTGTATCTGCTTCTGTTGCTGCTGAACAGCGGAGACTGTTTAGCTGTAGTAACAATGCAAAACGAGCACGTTCCTCTGGCAGCTCTCTTTCAAAGTCCAAACGAAATGCCACATGTACTTAAAGTTTGTGTGTTTAGCTGCTAAGGAAGAGGTCGAACGTCCACCAATTTCCGTGAAAGAAAGAACGGCACTAGCAAAAGCCGGCTTTGGTGATGCCAGTATTACCTTTGGGTATAACAAAAGCTCTGTTTATAATGGAATCATCCAACGATTTCCTCAATTGAGTGAGGTCGGGGGTTTTTACTTGCTGTTGTTTCAGAGAGGTATTGGGGAGGATGCAGGATTCCATCGAATTCTTCCCCCACGCACACCTCAAAGGCTGAAGGAGTTATGTGGCCAAGCAAAAATTTTCATGCGACCTGTTCAAAAGGACATTGAGCTTGATGACAAAAGTGGAGAAGAAAGAGATGTAAGTTGGATATTAGAAATTACCCGCTACAACAGTAGTAATGCCAGTGACTCTTTTTGCTCTATTTCTTGTTCGATTGGTTGTATTTAAAGTAGTTGTATGGTGATTAATTAGAAGCTCATTGTTGATAATTTATAATGATTATTTAAAAAATTATTTGTTTGAATTCACCAGTAAGAGTATTTGTACATGTTTGCTTAAATTAAACAACAAGGTTGTTTTATCCTGCTATTGGGTTCTTTTATGTGCGCAGTACATTAAATCCAGTCTGGAATATATATCAGGCTCCATTACTTCTTAGTTTTAAAGTAGTATCTGTGTGTTTTTTATGATATCAGACGAAATGTGTGGTTTTTTTTTTTAATTTTTCTTTGTCTCATGTTCATAACCATTTATCAGAACAAAGGAAATCCTTAAACAAACTAGTTGAAGAACAGTTGAACATGAGTTACATTGCATACCTTCAATTATGCAGGCATTTATAACTACTGCTTACATGTATTTTTGTTGTTTTGCCTTTACTCTTCTAAATGACTCTTTAGGCTGACAGTGATGTCCCTATGATTAACTGTTTTAACTGTGGTGCTGCTATCATGATGACGGATATGCAGAAGCAGCAGGAAACTCACCAGGAAGGAGCGACCAAGCAGCCTGAAGATGTTTTTGAGTTCAGTGCTGGTCAGTACAGTGTATGATCCACACTCTTTGTATCTTAGACTTGAAAGTATAATTTAGTGAATTCTTGAATTCTGTTATCTTATATTTGAAGGAGAGTTCTGAAAATGTCAGAAAGAACTGAAAATTCCTTCAATTACATTTTGTTGTTATAGACAATGACAGTAACTGGGAACCTCCCATAATGCTCCAGCCTTCTCAGCCACAGAAACAGCAGCAGGACAAAGGTGTGTACAGTATTGCAAAAGGGATAAGATTCAGCACTATAGTATTCATGATAAATTTTTGGGATTATTCAGATCAACCTAGAAGTGGGGTGAACTTGAAGTCCACGCATGAAAATAAAGAATAAACATCTTTCAACTGGAAGCAAAAAGTAACAATCCCCTATTCTGTATTTGGGATTACTTTTTACATGGCTCTACACAGGTGTACGGAATCTTAAAATACAGTTTAACCCATGAAGTTAATTTTTTATTCTTAAGCACTAGTCAGGGGAAAACACCAAGAGTCATGCAGTGGGGAAGGCCGTTCCAACAGCTGGTAAGTTTCTCTTCTTTCTATTATAAAATGAGCTAGGTTTGCTGTTGTTGTCTTAAGGGATTTAAATTTCGAGGACAATCATGCATTAGGCTAGAGGTCTTTGGGCAAGTAAATGTTGATGACACTGATTCCAGATTGATTGTGCCTGCCTTTGGCTTTTCTAATGAATTTGTATGTGATAAGAAATATGTATACAATTATTATCCTTGAAATAACACTTGACTACTGATACAGTAAATAAAAAACATTCACTGTAACTTGGATGAAACCAATGACATGGTGCACAGTAGCTATGGCCAGTAAAGCAACAATCTTGTTTTGATTTGTATATCTCGGGGATGGTTTGATCATTGTTATGATTATGCACCTCCAGACCTCCAGTTAGTGTCATGTACTCATGTCAATTATTATCCAACTACACCTAGATGAGTACAAATAATGCCATAGACGAGTACAAATATCATGCGGTATTTGTACTCGTCTATTGTAGTACCAGTTAAACAGGTTTTTTTGCATCGCGCAAGCCAAGAATTGGATTGTAGTTACGAAAAAAAAAACAAATGGCAGACAATTTGAATCATATTTCCAACGACGAAGAGTCAGAATGGCTGGCAAATATAGATCAAAGTTCATTAGATGAATCGAACAAAGAAAAACAGCTTGACGACCAGAAAATCTCTTCAAAATAGAAACAGCAGCACGACAACGTGCCAGTTCCATTCCGCTTCGCATACTTCTTTCACGCACTCCCCGTAAATAAACATCCGCAAAATTCGCCCACACTAAAATACCAGTTTGGCGTGTTGGATAATAAATAACTTATTAGATGTTTTGTTGTGTAGTATCGCTGAGTATTTTTACTTGTTATTTGTATTTTGACTCGCCCTATGGGCTTGTCAAAATATGGCAGAACTTGTAAAAATACTCAACGATACTACACAACAAAACGTCTAATAAGATATATGATATCTCAGCTGTTCCAACACAAATTGACCACCTCTCAGAAATGTTCCCTGATAAGAGTCGCGATTTTTTGAAAGCCTGTCTTCAAGTGGAGGGTTCATTCAATCAGGTTGTTATGTCACTCCTACAGGCAACAAGTAAAACTATCCTTGATGATGACAAAAAGGACTCGATGAATTCACCGTCTGAAACACTAGGAACCTGTGGTGATACTCAGGACCTGAGTGCTGAATTGAGAAACCTTCAGAAAAATTTCTCTTCAGATCAAAAGGAAAAGGTGAAGGTAGATGA